CGTTTAGGTGAAACTTAGGTAGGATTATATATATATATATATATATATATATATATATGCACTCACATACAAACTTCTACTACTGAAAGAAATCCTAATCATATTTCTGAGATATATATATATATATATATATATATATATATATATATATATATATATATATATATATATTAGGTTTGCTCTACTTAGTGTATTGAGCACTTTACTTAGTTACTTTTACTCGTTTTTTTTGGCGGGGTTCTTTGGACTCTGAGCTTAAATTCTGGACGATTGTTTTCGCCTCAATTTCATGTTCTTAGTGCTTTTTTATTCCTTAGTTTTTCTTGGGTACTGGTTTGTTCAACTACAAACCGAAATACCTAACGTTTTTTTCAAGCGAGTACCACTATATATATATATATATATATATATATATATATATATATATATATATATATATGCACTCACATACAAACTTCTACTACTGAAAACTACCAGGAAATTCTCAATCATATTTCTGATATATATATATATATATATATATATATATATATATATATATATATATATTGAATCGAGTTGATTGATTGATTTTGTTTAGTGGCATATCAACACCTTTTATGGGTTATCTAAATCCGAAATTAAATTATTTTGAACACAGTTTTATGGTTTCAACTACAGATAAAATCTAGCATTGAACCTGGAAACAAGAGCAATTAAGAATTAGTTCCATGCTCGTCAAAATCTCCAATCTCGTGATCAGAGCCTTGCTACCGGATGTAGTTTATCGTCATGCCCAGGAAGAGTCTAAGAATGGTGATGGTAATATTAATCGTTTCCTTATAAGGAAACATTTGGAATTCAGTGACCGAGTAGCCAGTGCTACTGTCAAAATATCTAAAATATTTCTATTTCTTTAAATGTAATTGCTATCGCTCCTTCTAGAAATCCTAATATTTTGTTCGAAGCATTTGTGTAATGTTAAGAACTTGACTAACAGCAATGTTTTCTTTCCGAGTTAATGTGCTATTTACAGTTTGTTTGACACAGTTCTTTGTGATTCTGTAGCGCCAACCCATGTGGTTCGAATAAAGATGGTTCTTGCTCAAACCTGCTGGAAGTTATTATTGATTATTGATCTAAGAAAAAAAGTTTTATAAAGATGACAGTTTGGTTATTTCTGAACGAGTTTGACACGCGTGGCATCGATATGAACGTCTCAATCTGATGGAGCTGTTTCAGAATATGGACAGAAACAAACCAAGAAAGAAAAGACTTACCAAAAGACACTGGATTACTGAAATAACCAATACAAACAGATATAGAACAGATTTATGTAAGTATATATAGATATAAATGGAACAAGGTAGGTTAACATATTTCAGGTGAGAATTGGGGCAGAGTGCAAAACAAGAAAAAAGAAAGAAAGAGACAGAAAAGAAATGAAAGAATAGAGATTTATTTCTCCTGGTGAATACTGTGATATAAACCTCGCCATATTTAGTTCAAGGTTTTAACCATCGAGGCAACCCTTGCCTTACTGCGTTGCTATGGAAACGATAATTTAAAAAATCGGAAATAGTTCAATAAAAGGAAAAAATATCAAAGAAAGAGCAAAGAATGATGGGAAAATATAGGAGACAAAGCTAGCGTCGTCGTGTAAACAGATAAAAAAGTCTGTAAATCAATGGAGGTAAGTAAGATGTTTGCAGACCCCGAGCAAAAGAGTAAAATGGGAGAATAAAATGGCGCTCATAAAAAAGAACGGAAAAAAGAAAAGGGTTGCAAAATGTAAAGGAGTAGAAAAAAAAATGAAATCAATTTTTATTCTTTCTTACATTTATTCTTTTTTTTTTTCTATAGTATCTCTTTCTTTTTCGGTGTTTTTCGGTCTTTTTCGGTCTTTTTCGATGTTTTTCGCTAGTTTTTTTTTACTATTCTGATTTTTCTTTCTATTTTGAATTCCCTTTTTATTTATTTCTTTTGTCTTACTTTCGTTTGTATTAATTTTTTCTTTACTTTTCTTTTTCTCTTTATTTTCTCTTGTTCATTTTGATTTCATTCCCTTTTAATCTCCCTTTTCTTTCTTTCACCTTTCTTTCTTTTTTCTTCCTTCTTTTATTTCTTCCCTTCATTTATTTTTATATTTCCACGTTGTTTTAGTTATTTTCTTTCTTTCTTTCTTTCTTTCTTTCTTTCTTTCTTTCTTTTTTATTTATTTTTTCATGTTACGTCCTATTATTTTTTCTTTCTTTTTTCTTTCTTTCTGTTTTCCTTCTTACTTTCTTTCTTTCTTTGTTGTTTTTATTTATTTTCTTTTTTTCTTTCTTTCTTTTTCCTTTCGTCTGTCGACATGACGGCAGCCAGCATGCTCTTGTATAGGAAATCTATTGATCTTGTCTTCGTGTTGAGTTGAGTGGCAGGCAGGCTTCCGCTCGAGGCAAATACGACCGAAAGATTCATTAACCTCGAACATAATAGCAAATATGTATTGCTTGTAGCTTTGGCAAAAGCGATGCGAAGAAGGAGAGAAAATGGGATATAGGGAGTGGGCAGCGATGAAAGGAGAAAGAAAAGAAGAGAATATTCAACTGTTTGTAGCAACACAACCTCTCTCTCTCTCTCTCTCTCTCTATATATATATATATATATATATATATATATATCCCATAGATATAGCAGATTTGAAGCGTGTTTCAAAGAGTCTGACGACGCCGTTCGAAACCAGAAGCGCCTTTCACGCAGCTAAAAGGGGACTTAGACAGGCGAAACCCTGGCAAACCTGGTTGCACCGGGCTGTCAGATGCTTGGACTATCAAGGTCCGCGTTGCCCTCGTTGGGGGTCTTCAGGGTTGGTCATGTTCAGTCTGCTCTCTCCTTGAAATTGTCGCCATGGATTGCCCTTCAGGATCTGGAACTCCAGATTGCTTCATTCTTGTGGTCACGGTGGCATGTTGCCCTACCACGATAAGAAGCAACAATCTAAGGAAAGCAATATATATATATATATATATATATATATATATATATATATATATAAAGATTAGGAAAAACTGTATGTAGTTTTAGCCGACGCGTTTCGTCCACTGCGGGCTTTTTTTTAAAGGCAAACACTACGAACTGTTTTTCCTATTGTCTTTATTCCGTTATACATATTGTCTTTTTCTACAAATTAATTCTGATATCTTTTTACACACACTCACACTCTCTCTCTCCCTCTCACTCTCTCTCTCTCTCTCTCACACACACAAATATATATATATATATATATATATATATATATATATATTAGTGAATATGCATAATATCCAACGACGTTGGATATTATGCTTATTCTATCATTACCCCCTAAATAAAAGCCATAATATTCACATCGACATTTCTGCAGGATAGTTTAAAAAGAAAATCAATAAACATAGACATATATTCAACAATCCAAAATTAAAACACAAAACAGCCCTTTCGAAAAAAAAAAAAATTGGGAACTGAAGGTAAAGGGTCTGAATAAATTGGAAACTTCTAGGTTTCGCGAACACCCCCCTAACAGTTTTAGGGATAGGTGCAAACTATGTTTAGAAGAAAAAAATCAGGATAATAAAATATAAAGATCAATGCAAACTATTAAATCCACGTAGAGAATTAATCCCGAAATGTAGACATAGAAATAAATTCCAATTACATAAGAACACATGTGCATATATGTGAGGATGTATGTGTGCGCATAGTGGAATGATCATGTAAATGTACACATATATGTATGTATGAAGATATGGACGCATATAAGTATGTTGGACAGCACGAGTTATTATACTGGGTGCTCTGGTATTACCCATAATCCAGAAATCTATAACTCAACTAATTTGCATTAATCTTAACGGGCTTAAATTTAAATCCCCCATCTCTTAACAGTATAAAATATTTATTGTGAATTCCAGAAAAACACACGCCGGGGCTGTTATAAGAGACACCACATAGAAGGAACTGATATCAAACTACAAACAACAAATCCTGGCCATAAATAATCTCCAAACCCAGACCGTTTCCCCTAGGATAAGATACCTTACGCCCTCACCAGTGGCTAACACAACCCACTCTCATTAACAAGGGGCCTACTAGAGGAGGACTGATTTTGAAAATAAATTTAGAACATTGCTCCGAGACAAGCACTTAGAGGCTGAGGATAGCCGTGTGAAGAACAGTTTAAAATAGACTATACCTATGTTGAGGTATTTTTTTCTGTAAAAAATATATATGCTCTGTTAAAATAAAAACACTGAGCTCCCAGTGAATCAATTTTAATAATTAATATTACTAGGATCCACCCGGATTATATACCAACGGATCGATTACTTGTAATATATATATATATATATATATATATATATATATATATATATATATATATATATATATATACATATATAACGTCATATATATATATAACAAAAATAAAGAAACTTTTTTAAAACAATGCTCTTCTTAAAATACATTTGATTTCTCTATGTTTTCAAATCGGATGTTGGTTTATGTGAGTCGAAAATTTGGATCCAACATGAATTTTAACTATTTTATATCAACAACCGCCAATTTTTTTTGGGGGTGAGAGTAATAACAGATTGAAGGCGTGATAAGACTTAAGAAAGCTTTATTGAGCTTGACTGGGGAGGCAAAGCTAGACAGCTTGTTTACAGTATCTATGTGAGAGAGTGTTCTTCTTTCAAGGGAGACAATCGTCGTCAAGAAAGGTAACTCCTGCTGGTCTATACCACAATTGGAATATTAGGAAAAAAATGATCAATAAATTTAATAGACATATTTTCCGTGTTACGCCATGTCGAAAGAAAGAAAGAAAGAAAGAAAGAAGGACAACGAGGAGGAAAAAGAATAAAGAAGAAAATGAATAAGAATATTAAAAACAACAGAGAAAGGAATATAAACCAAAGAAAGAAAGAAGCAAAACAAAAAACAAAAAAAAAGAGAAGAAAGAACAAAAGGATTAAGAAAGGAAGAAAGAAAAATAATTAAAACGTTACATGAAAAATAAATACAAAGGAAAGAAAGAAGGAAAGAAAGAAAGAAAACAAGGAAGAAAGAGGAAAAAGAAAGAATAAAAGAAGAAAACAGATAAAAACATTAAAAACAACAGAGAAAGAAAATATAAAGCAAAGAAAGAAAGAAAGAAAGAAAGAAGAAGAAATAAATAAATAAATAAAGAAAGAAAGAAAGAAAGAAAGGAGAATAAATAAATAAAGAAAGAAAGAAAGAAAGAAAGAAAGCGAGAAAGAAAGGAGAAGAAATAAATAAAGAAAGAAATAAAGAAAGAAAAAAGAAAGAAAGAAAGAAAGAAAGGAGAAGAAAGAAAGAAAGAAAGAAAGGAGAAGAAAGAAAGAAGAAGAAATAAATAAATAAAGAAAGAAAGAAAGAAAGAAAGAAGAAAGAACACGAGAAAAAAGATCAACGCCGAAGTGGTCAAGCACCTTACATCCCATGATCTGCTCTCAAACAAGCAATATGGTTTCCGCTTTGCCTGGTCCACCGCTGACGTACTCACGACCATAACTGTATTTATATACCAAGCACTTGAGAATAACGGAGAAGCTCGAGCCGTAGCTTTAGATATCTCTAAAGCGTTTGATAGGGTCTGGCTCGCTGGCCTTCTTCGTAAGCTTCAGGGATACTGCATAACAGGACGATTATTTGACTTAATAAAATCATTCCTGTCAAACCGTGAAATGAAGGTCGCCTTAAATGGGTTCTCCTCCAGTTCCTTTCACACAAACGTGGGTGTCCCCCAAGGCTCTATCCTGGGTCCTACACTGTCTCTGATCTTCCTGATGTCATCAATCTACGCTGACGACACTACTATTTACTCCTGCCTCAATAGAAAATCCGGCATCGTTGACAAAACTAACCTGCGAGTAGGCTCCGAGAAGGACCTCCAAATGGCTTGTAAACTTTAATGCCTCTAAAACGAAATTGCTCTCAATTACCCAACAAAGGGAACCCACCCTGGCTGATGCCCAACCCCACGAGAGCGCCTCTCTGCGCCTGCTTGGTCTCAAGCTGACCAAGTGACCTGAAGTGAAACAACTACATTGAATCTATAGCTTCATCCACCGCAAGGAAAATTAGTTCTCTGTGTCGCGCAAGAAGGTTCTTCTTATCGGAGTCCATCTTTCAAATGTACAAATCAACCATTCGTCCTTGTATGGAATACTGCTGCCATATATGATCTGGTGCTCCCGCTGTCCATATCGAGGTCCTCGACAAAATTCAGAGACGGATATGCGACGTGGTTGGTCCTGATCTGGCATCTTTGTCTGCAGTCGCTATCTCACAGACGTACTGTGGCTTCCCTCTGCCTTTTCTACAAGTACTTTCACGTCAACTGCTCCGACGAGCTACTTTCACTGGTTCGCAAATTGTATGAATTTAGGCATGCTACTAGGTTGGCATCTCGGTCCCACCTTTTCACTGTCGAAACAGTTAAATGTAACCATCTTTTCTACTCCAACAGTTTCTTATCTCGCGCCTCTCGTCAGTGGGACTCCTTCCTATCATTTGCTTACTAGCTATAATCTTCAAATGTAATGTCAATCGACATCTTCTGATGGCTTCACCTTGATTACTTTATCCTTTTCCCAAGTACTCCTCTTTACTCTTACTCTCACTCTCTTTAACCCCTTACATGCTAGTGGCATTCCGGCATTCCTGCCTTGCTTGGGGCGATTTTAATATATATATATATATATATATATATATATATATATATATATATATATATTATAAATTAATTGATTTAAAATATGTTTTTTTTCGCTACACAGTTCAACCATGTTTCAAAATAGAAGCTAAAAACCCCGAATTTAATTTTGCAATTAAATTAAAAGCATTAGTTCCATTTCATCTTCAAGCGAATTTTGGAGTAACTTTTAAAATTACCGGGTTTTAAAAGACACAGCTAAAATCACGTTTCCATGGTTACAGAATATTCTACTTAAATTGAACAAGGGATGTCTAGATTTCCCTTATGTCAGTATCATTGTATCAGTTATTAGCTACAATTTGGTAAGGGGTAGGGATGTATTTTACAATGAAACCTGACATCAGTTGAATGGATGTCGTCTGAATTTTTTTTTAAAAAAAATTGTTAACGGTAAAAAAATTTCAACGTCATTTTTTAAATTTAAAGATTTTCAAGTTTTTTTTTTTTTTTTTTTCTAATACTTTTTATTTAACTACGATTTGAAATATTCTCCTTTTTAATTTTTATTTTACTATATTCTTTTTTAAGAACAGTTAAATGTATTAGAATCCATTATATTATGTAGGATTATTTTAACATCAAGTTTAAGTATGTATATGAGGTTATTTTTTTTTTTTTTTTTTTTTTATGACTATGACGGCAAAAATGATTACTTAATTTCACTGATTCAGTAAACTTTTTATTTTATATATAAACCTAGTATTATAATATTTCTCATGTAAGTACAAAGGACATGGGTCATTCAAAAGCTTACATCTTATGGCATTTCATATTAATTTTATTTTACTATAGGTGTTTTTTTGGGATTCTTTTTAGTGCGTGTAGTATTATTTAAAAGAAATTTAGGTTAGAATTCATTCAATTTAACTACAATTTTAATTACGATTTCAAAATTACAACTTTAAAATTTTTTAAAATATTTTCATTGTTTAGTTTTAATAGACTATATTACTTTATAACAGAAGGAAAATTACTCATAGTAAGTAAAATTATTTTTCCATATAAAAGTATATGTAAATTACAATTTTTAAACTTTTATATTTAGATATTATTTAAGTAATATTAATGGCCCAGACTACAAAACTATCTAAGTCATTTCTCAGATTTAGTAAACTTTATATATTAATTCAAGTTTAAGTATGTATATGAGGTTACATTTTTTTTTTATTATTATTAAATTTATGATGACTATGACAGCAAAAATGGTAACTTAATTTCACTGATTTAGTAAACTTTTACTTTATACATAAACCTAGTAATATAATGTTGCTCATGTAAGTACAAAGGACATGGGTCATTCAAAAGCTTACATCTTATGGCATTTCATATTAATTTTATTTTACTATAGGTGTTTTTTGGGGATTCTTTTTAGTGCGTGTAGTATTATTTAAAAGAAATTTAGGTTAGAATTCATTCAATTTAACTATAATTTTAATTTCAATTTTAAAATTACAAACTTTAAACTTTTAAAATATTTTCATTGTTAGTTTTAATAGACTATATTACTTTATAACAGAAGGAAAATTACTCATAGTAAGTAAAATTATTTTTCAATATCCAAGTATATGTAAATTACAATTTTTAAACTTTTATATTTAAATATTATTTAAGTAATATTAATGGAACTTACTACAAAACTAGCTAAGTCATTTCTCAGATTTAGTAAACTTTATTTATTAATTTATTTATTTTAAATATATGTAACCTAAGTAATAAAGTTTCATATGTATGTACAAAGAACAGGTTAGAATTCATTTTATTTAACTACAATTTTAATTACAATTTTAAAATTACCACTTTAAATTTTAAAATTTTAAAGTGGTAATTTTAAAATTTAAAAATACTTAAACTTGATGTTAAAATAATCCTACATAATATAATGGATTCTAATACATTTAACTGTTCTTAAAAAGAATATAGTAAAATAAAAATTAAAAAGGAGAATATTTCAAATCGTAGTTAAATAAAAAAGTATTAGAAAAAAAAAAAAAACCCGAAAATCTTTAAATTTAAAAAATGACGTTGAAATTTTTTTACCGTTAACAATTTTTTTTTTTTTATAAAAATTCAGACGACATCCATTCAACTGATGTCAGGTTTCATTGTAAAATACATCCCTACCCCTTACCAAATTGTAGCTAATAACTGATACAATGATACTGACATAAGGGAAATCTAGACATCCCTTGTTCAATTTAAGTAGAATATTCTGTAACCATGGAAACGTGATTTTAGCTGTGTCTTTAAAACCCGGTAATTTTTAAAAGTTACTCCAAAATTCGCTTGAAGATGAAATGGAACTAATGCTTTTAATTTAATTGCAAAATTAAATTCAGGGTTTTTAGCTTCTATTTTTTGAAACATGGTTGGAACTGTGTAGCGAAAAATAAAACCATATTTTAAATCAATTAATTTATAATATTAATGCTCTGTAAATTTACAGTGAGCACTATTTTGTAAAAATAAAAATATCTATAAGAACACCGGATTTTATATCTTACTGTTCTTTTCTTTATATATATATATATATATATATATATATATATATATATATATATAAAAATATACATTCCTTTTTTCACTGATAGCACAAATCTCATTTTCATGCTCAACGCAATGCTCAGGTGCTGCTTTATAACTGACCGTTGCATAATTTAAATATTGCTATATATGCCGTCCGGGCTATAATGACAGTGAAACAGTCCATTCTATTTACGGGGGTGGGGGTATTAAAAATAATTTTAAAAATTCAATAAAAAAAAAAGAAAAGTATATATACACATATATACACATATAGAAAAACACATAGATACACTTACATAGCTCCAACTACAATATATATATATATATATATATATATATATATATATATATATATATATATATATATATAACCCAAATCCCCACCCCTGTTTGCCAGCTAATGAAACCTTTATCTACTAATTACACCTTACATTCCAAATAAATACTATACAAAATCAACATACGAACTACTCCAAATTCTAAAAGCAAAGAAAAAGAAATAATGAAACTTCAGCTTCACTCGACGTTGAAGGCTTATTTACCAACGCGTCTCAGTCAGGGAAACAAAAGATATAATCATAAACAATATCTATAATAATCCATCTCTCCCTCCATTAAAAAATCGAGTTAATATTTTTTGAAAATTAGTTTTGATGTGCATCACAGAAGTTCCTTTTCATGACCACAAAAACAACATCTACGTACAATGCGATGGTGTCTCTATGGGTTCCATCCTAGGGCCAACATTTAGCAATTTTTACATGACTAATTTAAAAAATAATGTACTTAATACCACAAAAAAAAACATCTATTTAACATAGATACGTAGATGACATTCTCATTTTAGTCAAAGACATAGGCAAAATACATGAACTACAACAAAACTTTAAAAATCTCTGTACCTAAGTTCACATATGAACTTAACAAGGTCAAAAAATCCCGTTCCTCGATGTATTCATAGACAGTAATAATAATAATAATAATAATAATACCTTTCCTTATAAAAAAACAATTAGTATAAACACATGTACTCTCAACTATAAAAGTGAAGGCTCTATTAAAAAAATAGCTGTCTATATTTCTGAGATGAGGTAAAAAAAATGGTTGCTGAAGACATTAGGTTTATAATACCCAGAAATTCATACACAGATGTCCTCAAGGGCACAGTGGATAAAGGCGTTAGTTAGATCCAGTGAGATC